GGGAAATTAAAGGAGCATGGTAAATTACACCAGACGGATGCAATCAGCTAAATTTAGAGACTAGGAAATTCTACAGGACAAATTATCCACATTCTTTAACAAATATGTGGCTTGTTAAAGGGGTAAAGTGAACCTGTTAGAGATTAGAAGAGATCTCTCAACCTAACACAAATATGTGACTTAATTATTGAGTTCTGCTTCAAACAAAGCAAATGTAAAACTATATTTTTTGAGACGCAATGAAGAAACTGAACATGTACTGCTTACTGGATGATATTAACGAGTTATAGTTAATCTGGGGATGTAATAATAAAATTATGGTTGTATTTTTTCTGTTAACACACCGAAGTATTTTTGGGTGAAATAATATGTTTGGAATTTGCTTTATAATTACTCCAGAAAAAAAGTAAGTGTGGATGGCGAATAGACGAAGCTAAAATTGCAAAGTGTTGATAATTTTTAACCTGGGTGATAGATATGTAAAGATTCATTATAATAGATTCTGATTTTTTATGTCTGAAAATTAAAATGATAAATTTTAATAAATAATTGGGTTAATAAGCCTATGTAGAATATAGAAGACCATATTGCCTAGTACCTACAATATGCCTATGGAAATATTTTAACTAATTTGTAAGTCATAATATAATGTCTGTGGATTCAGGTTACCTAGGTATAAATTCTGGCTTTCCTGCTTGCTACCTGTACAACCTTGAAAAAGTTGCATAACCTTTCTAAACCTCAATTTTCTTAGCATTTTAATGAAAATAATGACTTTTAATGAAAGTATTGACTTCATAGAGGCACTATGAGGTATAACAAATAACCCATGTGAAGTGTTAGCATAGTGCATGGCCATAATAAATGTCTAATAAAGGTTAATTGCTTTTATTAATCTGTAGTCTCAGGCTCCACTTTAAAAGAGGAGAAAACTAATGAAATTATCACTTGTAACACATAAAATTCCAAGCAGGATATAATCTTCAGAAATCATCTTGTATCCTCTGACAATTTACAGCTGAAGTCGCCAGAAAGAGGAATGGAATAGAGACTATATTATTCACATGGAATAGAGATTATAAAGATGCCATAGGACCTATTTTCCATCTCTTGGATAATTTATTTCTCTGTTTCTCCCTCTGGACCCTGCCTTCCCCTAACTCACAAATTATTTAAGTTTATAAAGCAAAACTATACACAATTATTTTAAAATGGTCTGACAGTGCAGAATATAGACATATTTCTTTATACTTTGTACATTATAATTACTTCACACTGTACTGCAAGAAGTAGTATTTATAAATAAGAAACTTCGGGAACAAAGATATTATACCAATTTGAGAAAGTAATTTCAATTATGTACAAATCATTAAAATAATAGTCATTTATTATTGTTAAGTATCTATTACTGTAATTATGTTCCAGGTTTTCCCTCATGAGCTCGAAATGCTTTTCAAATCTATTGAACTCTACTCTCTAAGCCTTTCTAAGCCTCTTCATCGCACAGTACCTCTGTTATCCAGCACACTACCAGTGTTCTTTGACATTTACGTTAAATGTCACTTCCATTATATTCATTAATACCTAGAGTTACAAAATGCACAAAAATGCACCTAGGGTTACAAAATGCACAAAATTGTCTTAACAGCAATCACCTAAAAACTATAAGTTTAAATCTATCTATTTCTAACATAAAACTTTTTAATTTAGAAAATGTGAGTGCACCTACTTGCAGACAAGATTTTTTTTTTACTGTGAAGAAAAAACATCATAGGGTCCTGATGTGCTTAAGAATTTACAGATTTCTGAATTATCAACGAAACATTACCTATTGTTCAATCTACATTTATTAAGTATATTTTATCATAGTCTAAATATTTAAAACTTTGGAATTTGGCAGCTCTCTAGTAACATAAACATATTTTAACATCTAAAACAGTCAATTTTGTAATATGCTTAATAGAATAGAGCTTGCCATAGAAAAATGTATACTTAAGAAAATGCCACCATTTTTCAAGACCTTTGGGCATCATGTAAGACACTGCACTGGCAGTTAAATGGAAATTGTTAAAGCACTTTCTATGTGTAGCAAGTCTGAATGTGAATTAAACATTGATTCATCATTTCCTATACCCTACTAATATTCCTTTGATATATGTAGGAGCCACGGTTTGTTTGGAAGTATAAAAAGAAAAGTAACTAGAATTATTCCATTTATGTGACTAATAAAGTGACATATACTGAAAAAAAATCAAACCACTCTTCTGATTTTATAAAGGTTTGTGGTCAACATTACTTGAACATTACCCATAAAGTCTTGATTTGGACATACTGGGGATGGTTGTTACATGGCTGTGGCTGCAGATAAAATATCGAACTCTCTATAGGTGTTCAATACATAAATATACAAATTCAATAAACACATACATGAAAGCTAAAGTATCAATAAGGAAATCCATTCCCAAGATGCTTTGAAAAGCTCAGTGAGTGCATCGGGTAAGGAGTGTGGAAAGGCTCATTGAAAAGCAGAGCTTTAAGGTAATATACACATTCTTGAAATTTCTACTTAAAAACTCAGTTATCTCAGTATTTTACTTGTATATACAGGCCAGTGGATATCTAAGCAAAACTATTGCAGAGGACAATTCTATTTGTGAATGCTAAAAATACATAATCCATACCACTGCAAACTCTGGATACAATCAAAAAAGTATACATAGTGTTGATAATATATTCCAAAAAATAGCTTTAATAAAGATATAAAAGGGATGACTGTTGAAGTGCAACTTAAATCACTTACTCATTGTGTAAGGAAAATGACAAACAAGTTAACTATGAAAACTGAGAACAGGCATCAGATTTATGTTGTTTCATAGCAGTATTTCAAATGGTTTTTGAGATTTTTCTTAAGTGTGCTACCATGCAATTCTAATCGAATTGACCTTTCTTCCATATACTTACAACAATATTTTTATGATAACCATGCAACTAATGCTTAATTCCTCATGCAAATTTTGAAAGATATTATTATTAATAAAGGTATATCAAATCTTAAATACTTAATATATTTCTTCTTCTAATATTAATGCCAGATTTATATTATTATAGAAAGAAAATAATAATTATATTGTTATTTCAGACAACAATGAGAGCCAATGTGTGTAATTAAGAAAACAGGAAATTCACATTCACGGTCTTGAATTAATAAGGTTTACTATATATACTTTTCAAATACATCAAATTTATATTGAGCTTACATTGCATTTTAATTGGATATGTTTGGATGGAAAAATAAAATATATCAATGATGATACCCTTCCTAAATACATCCACAGACTAATCAATTCAAGAATTTACAGTAGACAGCCTATAAACATTATCCACCTATCTTTTCTTCTCTATAGCTAGCTCCACCCCTACCCCAATGCAGGAGATCCAGCTGAGACAATTAATAGCAGAACACTTCAGTAATTCAGGTGCAGTTCACTTTTAAAAGGCAAGTCAAAACCCAAAAATTAAAAAAAGTCATATTATAATTAAAAATCACTTTAAATTTTTATAATATATTTTGATATCCTATTTCAGAGTTTATTTGACAACTGATTCTTGAAAAGACATCTCTTACATTCAATCAATTGTAACTTTCAAAAGATTCCCAATCTTGTATTTGGGATATATTTTGTTCATTTGCTCATTTTAAACTTACAATCTGTTTTAATTTTAATTCTTTGGTTTCATGTTCTGAATGCCTTCATATTTTTTTCTGGCTATGAAATTAACATATACATGCTACTAAAAATATAGAAAACTATGGAGAATAATACAAAAGTCAAATAATCTTATCACCTAGATAAAACTGCAATTAACTCTTGGTGTATGCATTGCGAGATTTTCTATGCACAGATGTCGATACAGGTATAGAAATTATATTTTCTACAAAAATGATCAAGCTATACGTTCTATTATTCAAGCTCCTTATCCCACCCAACAGTGTACCACAGATACAGTTTCATATCTATATATACTGCACGTCTGCATCATTTTAACGACTATAATGTTCTAGCCAATTACGAACTATTAAAGTAGAGTTAAACTTTTAGGCCTCGATTCCTGGATGTTGTACAGAGAAATGAGCAATCTATCAATGAAATACCTCTCAAATCAAGGACTGAATGATTGAGAAAGATGTATTCAATGACCAGTTACTATAGTTAATTCTTTTGTCCTGGGAGAAATATGCAACTACAGTTACTTCATACCAGTTAAAATAAGCAAAGCTTGAAGAATTTATTTAAAATTCTGTAAAATTTAATCAGAAGGATCCTCACCCAGAAAAAAACCTCATGATGCAGATAAACACAAAATTCCTACTCAAACACGATACATAGTAAAAAATTATTTATAACAATATTCTTTTCTTCCTCTATTAGTTTTCCCTTTTTATGTTTTCCCTTTTCAAGATCTCTCTACTACTCTCTTTTAACAATTGTTTACAGACTTACAGCCAGCAAACCCCCAACTTATATTTTTTTCTCTATTGATTCTCTCCAGCAAAAACCAACTAAATACCTTTTAATACTAAATTCAGTTCTTGATAAACAATAAATAGCCAATGATAAATTATTGCACTTAACATGCGTCTTTAAATAAAATAAAAATACAAACATGTACTTCCTGGGAGATAATATTTTAAAAACTTTTAGAAGTGAATAGGTTCATAGACAAAATTTATTTCATTAAGCTCTGTTCACTATTCCATATTAAACAATGCAGCCTGAGGTACTCACACAAATAACTTCAATTTTATTTTAGTTCTTTTATGTTTTTCTAAGAGGTAATGCAAGGGAAAGAAAACTACCTTTTAAAGGGAATGGACTTTATTCTGCAATTTTTCTGTGATACTTCTTTACACAGATTGAAACAGCACATACATGCACACATACACACACACACACACACTTACAGGAAAGATGTACTAGATGCTGTGTATATTAACTGACCTTGGCCTGCTTCTGCCAACTCAATGGCACGTTTTCTCTCAAGCTTTTCACAAACAAGTACAGTGCTTCTTTGATGTTTGATGTGGGATGGTCGTATTCTCCGAGCAAACTCTGCAGGTATCTGCTGTTGAAATACTCCAATCTGTTCAAGAAGCAAATAAAATACAAATTCCACCAATTGACTGCCATCTTTAGAACTTTTACATTTTAGTCAGATGGTCCCAGACCTGGTTCAGAGACTGCATATTCCTAATTTACTTTGTTGAAATTTAATCTGTGGTAGGGAGAGAAAATACACATAGTAAATTCCAATTTAATTTCAAATATGTGCTTAAAAAGTAATTAAATATTTATGTTTATCCCACTAGAGCCAATCAGATGAAGAGAAAACACACCATGGAGAAGAAACCTTTGCACCAAAGACAGAAATATTGACCAAGCAGGGTCTACATTTCAGAAAAAGCTATGAAAGAAGAGGGCACTTCATACAATTACTTTCAAAGAATAGGGGGGAAATGGCATACCTTTGTTAAAAGTTTCCTTAAGGAACCCAAATTAAAACTACACAATAAACTCAAAAAATTAAAGAGAAATCATGTTAATGCACAGCTTCATAACACTTGAGTGAAAATGTTCAACTAAATATACATTTATGATCCATAACTTACATTTTCTTTTTTTTAAAAAAAAGAATGCTCTGTAATATAAAGACTTTATTGAGGTTTACTTCTTTTGTAAATTTTTACATATTAAAAGGGATATTCTGATGCTCTAAAGATCTGATGACTTTTAGTCTCTGAACTCAAGCTGTCAACCTGAAATATGCTAGGAAGATAGATGACAGCATTAGGCTCAGAAAAAAAAAGACACACACACACACACACACACACACACACTAACAAAAATGAAAAACCAGCGTAGAACATTACAATAGCAATTTGTACCTGTGGGGAAAAAAGCACTGAATCTAGAAATTTATGGGGCTTAATAGAGGTTATACTTTAAGGAAGGAGCATATTTATGTAGAAAAATGAGAGCAAGGGGAAGCGGAAGGAAAGGAAATAACCTAAATTTGTACAATAATGAAGTTTTCAAGGATTGTGTGGCTATACCACAGATAAAAGTCTTACCATGTAAAACCCCATGGAACATGCTCAAACAGAAAGTTAAGTCATTAGCCCAAAATCTCTGTGATAAAATTTTTAAAAATTGTTTTGCTGTTTCACTTAAGAAAGACAAAATAATGCTTATAAATACTCCCATTCTTGATGTGTATACTTTCCTTGTAATGAAAAATATGCATCAAAATCAAACACTTGGAAAAGGTCTATTTTGTTAGATTGTTTGCATTTATAATTAGGGTAGAGGAATCTATTCTTTATTTATCAGAGTTTACAATAAAATTGCTTTGGGAAAGACAATTATCTTAATTTCTCTCGGTTTTCTGACCTTATAATTCACCTTATAAGACACCTCCCCTAGAAGATGACATAAAAGGATGCCTACAAATTATCAAGTCTAGCACTTGTTCCAAATGTTTGCTGCTAAAACCAGATCTTGTATTTTACGCAGTTCCTGTCAGGAATGTAGGCAGAAGCAACAGATTTTCATATATATTGGTATCAGGGCACTTAGAAATAAATTATAATTTAATAAAAATTAAACATTTGAATTTAAATACAGGACTGACTTTAGTATCAGCATACAAAAATGTCTTTTTTATAATTCACTGTCACTCATTTATTCATTCAAATATATTTATTAGGTACCTGCTCTGTAATTTAACAGGATAAACAAGATCTCTAACATCATGCAGTTTGTATTTTAGTAGGAGAGAAACATACAGTAAAAATAATATATTTTTATAATGATTATTTTTTAATTAAAAATAAAAAAATTAATAAATAAGATAAGCATTAAAATATCAGAGTTATGTGTTCTTCAGAGAATTACAGTCCACTAATATAGAGAATGATTGAGTAGTGAGGGGAAAACTCTCTGAGGAGACAAAATTAAACTAAAACTTGAATGACAAGAATATTCTGGGCATTAAAGGATCATGTAGAACATCCCAAGCAACAATAATATTACGCAAAGGCTTTAAGGTGGAAATGGGTTGTAATCAATGTGTTGAAGAAACAGACAAAATGACAATATGGCTGAAGTGTAGTAAATGACAGGGAGAATCATATGAGATGAGGCAAGAAAGCGTAGTAGCCAGTTGGTGCAGTGCTTTGTAAACAAGGTAAAAGTTTGGATATTTTTAAGCGGCAAAATATTAGAAGGTTTACATAGGATAGTAATATGATTTGATGTAAACTCCCTTTCTCTGTATTTGTGCATAATATTCTCAAGAGAAAGGGATGGCCAGAAATTTTATGGCACACTATTTTAGAGTCTGGATTTTATATCAATCATGTCTCTCCTGGTGAAGGAAAGAAAAAGAAAGATTTCTGCCTTTGTTTTTAGCTGTCATCTGTTTCATGTCATATGGACAAATAAAGCTCAACTATTGCCAACAGAAACATGAAAAATAAACAGACACATTTGTTTCTTTTTTTCTATACATATACACAGGTATACTTTTGGCAAGTCCTCACTTGTCTTTCCAGTAATATTGTCCCCAGTGTCCTGATATATCTTCTATCCCAGCCAGCAAATGATCAAAGAACTGCAACAGAACAAAACATGTGTCTAAATATATAGCATGTATGAGGAGCTTGGTCAATTACTATCAAATAAAAAGATACATCGAAGGCATCTTCAATATTGTTGATTTCATCTGATTTGCTTATTTTTTAAACTTAAGCTTTTTTCAGGGTATTTGTAAAAAGAGGCATCTACATCTGTATGTAAGGATATTGGCAATATCTCTAGTATAAGCATTTAAAATGCTCTATTTAAAATTGAGAATGGCTTGGCATGGTGGCGCACTTCTGTAATCCCAGCACTTTGGAAGGCTGAGACGGGAGGATGGCTTGAACCCAGGAGTTCAAGACCGGCCTGGGCAACATGAGGAGACCCCATGTCTACAAAAAATTTTCACAAGATTAGCTAAGAATGGTGGTGCATGCCTATAGTCTCAGCTACAGGGGAATCTGAGCTGGGATGGGAGGATTGCATGAGCCCAGGAGGTTGAGGCTGCAGTGAGTAGTGATAGCACCACTGCACTCCAGCCTGGGCAACAGACCCTGTCTCAAGAGTAAATAAATATAAAATTACAAATGTACATATTAATCATAATCATGTGATGGATTTATTCATCTACTGAAGATCTGGGCTTGGTACCATGGAAGAAACAAAACAATTCAACGGCATGGTCTCTGTCTTTGAACCAAACTGGAGAGGCAAGACAAAAAGTAGATAGAGATCAAGCTCAAACTTAGCATGTGTATATGTACAAGTGCAACAAGGCAAATAAGGAATTTATAAGAGATTTATGCAAAAGAAGGTTGGATAGATATGGGCCAAGGGTAGGGAAAAGGGAAAAATTGACAAAGGGCTTTAAATATTAACATTAACATAAAACTTTAATGTGCTATAACATCACAGAAGATGCATAACTTATATCTACTCATGAAGAAACAATCAATAAATCCAACTTGAGTTATTTTCTCCAAAACAACTTGCATGTACTCTTCAAAAATGCCAGTGTCACAAAAGGCAATGAAAACTGAAAAGTAGTTTTATATTAAAGGTAATTTAAAAATATGACAACTGGATGTACTACATGATCATGGATCAGGAGAAAAATACCATTAAAACTTGGGGGACATTTGGCAAAATTTAAAATGTGAAAATATGTTAGCTAACACCATTTTATCAATTTAACCTTTGTGCATTTGATAGCTTGTGATTATGTACTAGAATCGCCTTTTTTGAAAATATTAATGGATTAAGAAATACTAAAGCGTGAATAGTCAGGATATCTGCAATTCAGTCTCAAATAATTCAGCAAATGACAATAATATGTACATATGTACAAGACTCTCTCTTTGTTACCCAGGCTGGAGTGCAGTGATGTGATCTCGGCTCACTGCAACCTCCTCCTCTCATGTTCAAGAGACTCCCCTGCTTCAGCCTCACCAGTAGCTGGTATTACAGGCATGTACCACCACGCCAGGCTAATTTTTGTATTTTAATAGAGAAGGGTTTTCGCCATGTTGGTCAGGCTGTTCTCAAATTCCTGGTCTCAAGTAATCCATTCACCTCAGCCTCCCAAAGTGCTGGAATTACAGGCGTGAGCCACAGTGCCCAGCTTGTTTTTGAAATTCTGTAGCCTTGATATTTTAAAAAATAATATGTTGGAAAAACTAAAGTTTGACATGGTTCTAAAAATTTGTTAAATAAATTATTTCCTATAATTTATATATGTATTATATTATATATGTTTTGCAGCCATTAAAGTCAGTTTTCATAGAGCAGGAATAGGACAGTAAAACTGAATTTCCCTCTAATTAACCTAAAGAAGTCATTCAATTATAATAAAAACAACAGATTCCTTTTTACAACTTGAGCAATCAAATATTAATATTTGAGAAAAAGGATATAAAGAGTTGCATTAGCCATGCTTGTAAGTACACAGTCTTAGACATATTATTATTAATAAAACTTACAGGTTTTACAAGTAGAAAACCAGTATGTGTACTGAAAATGTGTCCCAGAAAATTATGAAGTGTGCCAAAATGATGTTAGAAGCAGAATAGTCTTTGAGTGTTCATCTCTTCTTTGATTAAAATACCCAGCTTTTTTTCAATATCAGTAAGCCAAAGCGTATCTTGAAATCACTCTTAATCGTTTACATTTAACACTTTGTTGTTATATTCGGTAATAGCCCACATATTATTATCAACATTTTAAATTTTATTTACATAAAAAGATTAAATAACTGATATAAATTTTACTTTCAAATTTCTATGACCCCTCCTTGCTTCTAATGTAGAAAGAAGGCATTTTCCTTTCAATTCTGGGTACTTCTGAAACTCTACTTCAAAGAGCATATTTTGTAATTTAATTGTTGAAATCTTTATCAATCCTCAATGATTGAGATGGTATTAAAAGCTCAACCAAGCACTAAAATATCCCAAGAAAAAATTCCCAATTACATATTGGCCACATAGGTCAGTTTATAAGCAATCGCTTTATAATAACAAATGGAAAATAAACTTAGTTACTGAAATAATGTAGCCTAGAATTAAGAATTAGTAAAGAAACCAAAGTGCTTGTAATAAAAATTTGAAGTGAAAACATTCATAATTCATGACTGTTCAACCTAGATAGGCCCTTGGAGATCATGTCAACAACCATTTTAATTTACTGATTAGGAAATCAAAGCCACAAAAAAGTTAAAAGGTGTCCCCAAGATAATATGGGAAGCTGTATAGTAATAGAGCAAAGGCTAGAATACGGATTCTTCGTGTTCTTACTGCCTCATCATCTAAACTTGTTTCTCAATTTTTCAAATTGCAGATGGATGCAAAATAACAAATACCTATTTAGAAGCTGGATAGTTATGCCTCCTTTTATTAGGAGAAAAACCCAAGTATAGTAAGACCAAACATGTAAGGATTAGTTCTGGTCAATGAGATCACCTACATAATATACAGACAGCTTACCTTAATGAGAATTTGTTCACTAGCCGTTGGAGAGGTTTCTCTTCTTTTCACATCTAGTAAGTGAACGAGAGAATGGACCGTCAGTCCATACAAAATGACAAAGCAAAATCCACATCTCCTTCTTACCAAATTAGTACTTAAATATGTCCCTGGTGTGGGGGGCGTGTGTGTGTGTGTGTGTGTGTGTGTGTGTGTATTGTGTGTTTTAATCTGGAAATGATTAGAATGGAACTTAGAACATTACTGTGAAGTCCTAATAAGGGAAAAGGAGTCAGGCTGGTGGGATCAGAGGACAGAAAAAAGAAAAAGTAGATCAGCTAGAAGTCTGATTTTCTTCATGGTCCAGGACATATAGCCCTCCTACACAAATAATTCACAATTTTTCTGCACCCAGCTATTACCAGACACCTTGGCTGATAGAAAAATGCAAGTTAGCTCACTGTTACCTTGGCGTTATCATTACAGTATATAGTCCTCTCTGGCACAAGTACCATTCTATAAAATCTCCAGCAAGCTTTTGTCTCTTTGCTGTCAGCTCCTCTCTTTCTGGTCTTCCCACTGCTTTCTTGCAACATATTTTCCTACTTTCTCTAATAAATCTCCCTTTCTTTACCTACAACTGTATTGGTAAATTCCTTTACCACCCCCATCACCCATCTCAGATAGTCGCTACCCATGAGAATTATCTTAAAATTCAAAGGGATTGATCAGAATAAACTAATGCCAAAGGAAAGTGCTGTGATTTTTTTTCTCACAGAGATCAATGGGAATATATATATATATAACAAAAACACTAGGTAGGATAAAATATAAAATAAAAGTTTACCACTATGTTTCAAAAATAGAAGTTCTTAAATCACAGAGCCAAAATGCTGTAAGAGATTTTCATTTTAATGTCTGCCAATTTCCTCAGGCATATCATTTTGTCCTTATTATTCCTTATATATCAAAATGGGATTACACTCCTAATGGTATGTTACTTTAAATTTGTCTTAAGGATGACGACAAAAGAAGCAAACATTCAATATTAATAGCCATTCATTAAGCTCTGCCACAAGATTTATTGAGCGTGTATTACGTGCCAGATTCTATATTAGGCACTGGGGTTACAATGGGGAACTAAAGTCGAATGGGTCCACAAGCTTATAAGTCTTATAACATAGTGTAATATCTCAGGGAGGTAGCTATTAGTGAAATAATTACATTAATGAGCAAATAAATACAAACTGAATAAGTGTTCTGAAGGAAATAAAGCAATTTTATGAGAAAGCAATACATTTTAAATTGAAGGTTAAGTAAAGTTTTCTCTAAGGAAGTGACACTTGAGCTAAGATCTGAAGGATGAGTGACATTAACTGCATGAAGGGGAATAAACCATTTTAGGCTGATGGAGTAGGATTGGTAAGGCTTTATGGTAGGAGAAGGAATGACACATTAGAGCAACTAAAATCCTTTTGTGGCTAGGTTGTAGAGTACATGAGGATTATATTATTAACAGAACTGAAGAGATAGGCTGGTTAGACTGCATAAAGCTTATCAGGTCATGTTATTTTTTTATTTACTTTTTACTAAGACTAATGCTTAGCAAAAAGTAAAGAAAGTAGATAAAGTATTTCAGCCTTTGTTTTTAGTTGTCGCCTTTTTAGTGACATGTGGATGGATAGTTGAATAAATTCAACTATCTCCAACAGAAATATACAGAAAAATAAAACTGAAATGGTTTGATCAGATTTGTTTCAAAAAGATCACCCTAGCTGCAGTGTTTTAAAAATGTGTTGAAAATAAGCCATAATGAATATGAGAAAATTATTTAGGAGGCCATTTTAGTATCCCAGGTAAGAGATGGTGATACATTGGGCACGAATAATGGCAGAGGAGATATAGAAGAAATTGACTTAGTGACCAAATTAACATAGAGGAAGGCAGTGTCACAGAGATAGCGGTATAAAGATGATGCTAAGATTTCATATTTGAGCAAATGAGTAGGAGGTGGTAAAACTAACCTAGCTGACGTAGATTCAGTGTAGGAATCAAGTTGGCAGAGAAAATCAAAAGTTCAATTTTGGAAATAAAAACTGTAAGATGCCTAAGGTATATACAAGTGAATATGTCAAAGAGATGATTATCTATATATGTTAGCATTCAGAGGAGATATTTGGCCTGGAGATATATATTTGTAAGTCATATGTGTATAGTCAGTAAATAAAGTTGTGTATGGATATGGGTGAGGTCTTCAAGGGGAGGAAAAATTGAAAAGAGGAAAGGATCTAGAGCTAATTCTTAAGGAACTCCAACAGTTAGTGATACAGTAATGAAAACAAGCTTTCAAAAGAGACAGCAAAAGAGGAAGCAGAGAGGTAAGAGGAAAATAAGAAAGTGGGTTGTCAAATAAAGATAATATTTCTAGAAGGTAAGAGACTGAGTCATGTGAAATGCTGCTGAGAGCAATACTAGGTGGGAGGCATTTTGTGTTGTCACAATGGTGCCTACTACTGGCATTTAGAGGGCAGGGGTCAGGAACGCTAAACAACAAAGAATTGTCCTGCCCAAAAAGCCAATATTGACCCCATTAAGAAGCCCCTTGCTATGGTCTCAATGTCTCCTCCAAAAGTTATGTTGAAACTTAGTTGCCACTGTGATGATATTAAGAGGTAGAACCATTAGGAGATGAATAGGTCATGAGGGCTCTGCCCTTATGAATGGACTAATGTCATTATTGTGGGAGGGAGTTTGCTATCACGAGAGTGAAGTTTTGTAAAATTGAGTTTGAACATCTCCGTCTCTCTCACTCTTTCTTTTCTGCCTTCTGCCATGAGATTATGAGCCTAAAGGCCCTCACCGGATGCCAGTGCCATGCTGTTGGACTTCCCTGCCGTCAGAATTATAAGCCAAATAAAAACTTCTATTGTTTGTAAATGACTTAGTCTCAGTGCTAACACGAAACAAAGTTAAACACCCCTCATTCTGAGGATTAGAAAACCAAAAACAAGAAATTTTCTAATGCCAATGAAGTTTTACAGAATTATGACTCAAGTTCAGATTGCCTAATTCTAAATCCATGCGCTTCTACTATATCATAACAGCTACTCAAGAATGAGATGATATGTGAAATTCAAAAAAATGTTCCTAAAGTAGTCAAAGTCAAACTGATTAAAATAAAACATCTTAACATATGGAGAAATCCTATATTTTATATTTTTAGTGTTCTCTGGGAATGGGAGAGGTTAGCATTTTAAATTGTCTTCTCAAATTTTTGTGCTGAGAGGCAACTTTACTATATTTTTAAATGTGATTATCCAGTTCCCTGATTATCTATATAAATGAGCATATTGCCTCGTCTGCTATTAATAATGATAGGAGACAAATTAAAAGTATCAGAAGTCGTATATTTAACATTTTTATAATAATTATACTGATTAGGTCACAAACTTACAGAAGCCAAAGTCAGTGTTTATTCTGTCTACTTCTATATTTCAAGCACTTTGCATGCTACTCAGAAAATAGTTGTTGCTCAATAAATATTTATAGAATATATCAATGTTAAGTAACATAATAATAAAGTGAAATAATAGATGTGAAAGCATCTTAGCACAGTGTCATGCAATTGTGTAGTCTAGGTAAAACTTATCTTCTAATCTGGCTCTTAATTCACAGTGGCAAAGGCTCATTTGAATTACACTTATCCTTATAAGATCAGAAGAGAGAAAAAGTTGTACAAACAGCTCCTGTTTACCAAGCAACTGCTATTTCTACCAGACTTGATCCACAGGCTCTGAGTTTTCCCTTGGGAAGAGGCTCTCAATTCAAAGTAAGGAGAAGGATAGGGGTGATACATTCTATATATAACATAATTCACTATTAAAGACATTTGACTACCATTATATGTCATTTTGAGGGTCCCAACATAATTTATATTTATTCTTAAATCCTTAATTAAAGAGATTAACTGACCACATAGTCTGAATTCATTTAATACCTAATTTTAGGGATACATGAGCATACTCAGGTAGCTCTATAGTAAATGGAATACAAGTTATGCAGACTTTAAATGCATACTTAACAATACCATTAAATAAACTATGAGCAAGGGTGAGTGATGAGTGATGTTTGCTGCTTCACCTTCTGTAGATAGAGAGAAGATAAAGTAAGAAAGGGCTTAAGAAAGAAAAGGAAGGGAGAGAAAAAAATGGAAAGTTATAAATTGTCCAAAGTATTGTTTTGTTTTGAGTTTCTAAATCAAAGTATGATTGAATTAAAATTAATTGAAGGAATTGAAATTTGCCCTAGACTTTACGTGTGGGAACAAGGACTTTAAGGAGGAAATCTATCAGCCTAGGTAAAAAACCTGAGGCGTTATATGAAAAAAAGAAAAAAATGTCTGCGAATAAACAACAAAACCAACTGTTTTCAAAGCATTTTGAAAATGCGTCCTTATAAAGTTGCTATTTTCAGTTTGTTTCAGAAATGTGGAAGGAAGCAGTTAATAACTTTCAATGTTAAGTTTGAAATTTAAAAAGAAACTAAAGGCGTCCTAGCCCTTCATCAGCTCTTCAATTCTCTGAAATGACAGAAATGTCTTACTGTGGCTCCATTTTTTTTTTTTTTTTCTTAAATGCACCAAAAGAGCATCTTGCCCCAAGAGCTTTCTTTCCAATTTGGAACTACGCAATTTTTTGTAAATGCATTTGAATTGCCCAGTCAGGGGATCATCCTATTCACTTGGTTTCCATAAGTAATTTTGCATAATTCTTGCTTTTTAGGTGACATTTGAGTTGTGAGATTTTACTAAATTCATTCTGACATTTGAAAAATTATCATACAATTCTTTCATGTGATAGAAGCACATCCTTTTAACCACGCTTATCACGGGCAAAAAGCTTCCCAGTGCAAGGAGGTCTGCTAATGACCTGGTCTTTTAAAAGGCTGACTCCTTATTTCCATTTTTCAACCAATTCACATTACTTTCCATCTTTACTTCCCTTAATTCATTTCACTCACTCTACCAGGGATAGGTCAAAATTAATGCTTCTAAACACAAAGCTGTCAAACCAGC